CTGTCTTTGTTAAAAGCACAACAAGGTCCCTGTTGTAATTTAGACAGAGTTTGGAGGTGGGATGGGGCTTGGAGGGAGAAAATAATTCTGTAGTCAGAGAACATCTTTTTGCATGTGAGTTTGTCTACCAACTAATGGATGAGGAGGAACCAGACACATGGCATTCTGGATAAGGAGGATAGTGGCCATGCCTGTTCATCAGTTAATCTTCATGTCTTGCAATAGCCAGTAAAGGGAAGTATGCTGTCTTAGTTAGGGCTTCTATTGTTGTGAAGAGACACCATGACCATGGCAACTCTTATAAAGGAAAGCATTTAATTAGGGCTGGCTACAATTTCAAAGGTTTAGTCTCTTATCATGCTGGGACATGTTGGTGTACAGGCAGACATGGTGCTGCAGAAGGAGCTGAGAATTCTACATCTTGATCTGCTGGCAGCGGGAGACAGTGCCACACTGGGTGTAGCTTGAGCATATGAGACCTCAAAGCCCGCCCCCACAGTGACACACTTCCTCTAACAAGGTCACACCTACTCTATCAAGGCCATACTTCCTAATGCTATTCCTTATGGGCTAAGCATTCAAACACATGAGTCTGTGGGGGCCACACCTATTCAAACCACCACATATGCTAACCATCATTTTTATTCTGGTAAAATACAGACAAGACGATGTGCAGGTGTAACTTTAATAAACAAATCTTCCCTTACAAAGGCTTGGCATTCCTTTAAGAAGTTTTCTACTAGTTGAGAAAAAATTACACACTAATTTGTGAATGCTTTCATTTAAACATGACCTAGAGAACAGTTTTTCTGGGCTGGAGAGATGGCTGAGCAGTCAAGAGTACTGGCTGCTCTTCCAGAGGACCCAGGTTGGATTCCAAGCACCCACATGGCAACTCACAACAATTTGTAACTCCAGTCCCAGGGGATGAGACACCCTTTTCTAGCCTCTTTGTGCACTGAACATATGTAGTGCACAGACGTACAAGTGGGAAGCACCCACAAAATAATAATGAAAATTTAGAAAATGTTTCTTATGGTCATTTTGTTCAAATATTTTTTTCCAATAAGTTAAGTATAAGCCTTTGTTCTTAAATGAAATCAGTTTTTAAATTTTTCTTAAAACAAAACAAAACAAAACAAAACACAAAATCTGGGTGATGGTGGTACACACCTTTAATCCTAGCACTTGGGAGGCAGAGACAGGTGAATTTCTTTGGGTTAGAGGCTAGCCTGGTCTACAGAGCCAGTTCCAGGACAGCCAAGGCAACACAGAGAAACCCCATCTTGAAAACTCAAAAAGGAAAAACAAAGATGTTCTGTTTCCACTTGACACAGAATATTCTTTATTCTCTCTTCCAGCCGACTATCATGCTAACACTAAACTAGCTTCTGTCACTGGAAATAGTTCAGGTGTTTAATGGTCTGTTGTAGTAACAGTACTCACCCAAGCTCGCTCAAATATTTAGTTTTTAAAGACACCATCTCCATTTGGGTGTGGGAGGTCAGTTAGGCAAAGATGGACGACAACACTCAAGCACCGTCTTGAAGTTCCAAAGAATGAGCTTGGGAACGTTGTAAAACATTTGGAGAGGTGGTTAGCAGCAGCACAAAGAGAGACTATGGAACAGAACCGGTGGGAACACTGTAGTCCCTCCTAGAGGAGCTGGCTTGCCTGCCCACTGCTTATTTTTCTAAATTCTAATAAAATGGTTGTGTTTTCATTTGAGTCTGTCCTTAAATTCTTATATTAATGAGACTAAGAATCCCAAAGGGAGACCCCGATTTCCCCTTTACATTAAACTGGGGTGGGGGTGGGGGGCTTGGCTCCTGAAGACCCACGTGCAGTGGTGGAACGTGTATAATGTGAGAGTAGAAAGTGCTGAGTCAGGGCCTGCAGGACCTCTGGTCCCTTCACATCTCATGTTCAGGTGTTCATAACCAGTGTCTGTTGCAGAGAACTTAATTTCTGCACAGCCACTGTCCCGACAAAGGCTGACACAACCTAAGACCTTTGCCTACATTATCATCTGGAGGTTTCCCCTTCAAAATTCAGGTGATGGGGGGCTGGAGAGATGGCTCAGCAGTTAAGAGCACTGGCTGCTCTTCCAAAGGTCCTGAGTTCAATTCCCAGCAACCACATGGTGACTCACAACCATCTATAATGAGACCTGGAGCCCTCTTCTGGCCTGCAGGCAGAACAATGTGTACATGAAAAATAAATATATTAAAAAAATTCAGGTGATGAAACATAATGGACAATTGTATGGCTTTAAGAGGTGGGGCTTCGGGGGCTGACTAGGCAGAAGGTCTACTCTCGCAGATAGGTGTAGGTGCCATTAAAAAGGGGGGTCAGTGGTGGGAGTTGTCCCTTCTTTTACCGTATAGTCATCCGTCCCCAGGATTAGCTTTTCCAAATACTGGAACCTACTGGTAATATTTTGGTCTGGACTCCCAGCCTCCAGAACTGTAAGAAATACATTCTGTTTTTATAAATTATCCAGTCTCCGGGATTTTGTTGTAGAAAGCAAAGGAACTAATGCATCCTCTATAAACAAAACTTCTCTTAGGGCAGGGAGACGGCTGACAAAGAGCTTAGCTGTTTGTTTAACTAACAACCTGAGTTCATCCCTAGAACCCACGATGGAGGAGAACCGACCCTGGAAAGTTGTTCCCTGATCTCCATACTTGTGACACCTGTGTGGCCTTACTCACATACGCACATAACACATACAGACAAACACACACAGAGACACATATAACACACACACAGACACAAATACACACAAACACACAGAGAAACATACAGACTAACATACACAGACACACACACACAGGCAAAGACATACATACACAGACACACACATATACACACACACAGAGGCACACACAGACACAAATACACACAGAGAGACACAAACACCTTCCCACAGACACACAGACTCACAGAACCAGACACCTCATACACACACACACACACACACACACACACGTATTAAAAGCAAATTTTCTCTTCTGGGGACTTAGCAGCGGGGGTAGACTGTGAACAGTCCCTGTGGCTCTGGCTGAGGGAGGTCTGAAAGGGGCCAGGAAGGCAGTATGTCCCCATTTCAGCCTATGAAGTGCAGTTCGGTGGTGACTGAAGGTTTGAATCTCCCACACTGATTCGCGACAGCAACAGTAAACACACTCTCTGGACGCTTGTCAGCCTGGCAGCCTTAGGAGTCTGGGAGTCGGCAAACCAGATGTAGCTCAGGTAATTCAGCTTTCAGAGCCCAAACCCGGCTGTCCCTAAGTACCACCATTGGCAGGGAACCCCAGGCCCCAGACACACACAAGTTCAGCGCCTCCTGGGCAGACACCGATGTCTTGTCGCTCAGTGATTTCACCTTTGTTCCATCCTTGGACATCACGTGATGTTGGCTGCAACAGGGTTGAACCTTGGGCGACCTGCTGCCTGTGGTGGGAGGTGACAACCTGGCCAGGTGACAGCCACTGGGAGCTGTGGGTGGCTTTGGTAGAACCTATGAACAGGTCCGTGTGGCAGAGGCATGCAACTTTCTATGCTTGCTCAGTTATTTGGGTCACTAAAGAGTGAGGCAAGCGATTCACCAGGGAACAGATAAAATTCCTGAGGTCCTGAAGGAGCTGCACCTACTGCGGGCAAAGACTGCGAGAACCCGGTGAGGTTGTTAGCAATGTCCCTGCATAACCACGAGATGGCGCCAACTTTCCATTGTAAACATTTCACACCTTCAGTTTCATTGTTTTCACAAGATGGTAATTGTTGGGAGTTTTGGTTACAATCTTCTCTAGAATACAGATGTGTACATTATAGCAATTTTGTTCACAAAGTACAGAGTGTCCCACTCAAACCCAGAGATAGGCAATGTCTGAGGCTTCTTCCCTCCGTGCAATCCTTCAGGTTAATTTTATTTTTACAAAACGGAGCAGCCACCTGATGGCTGTTCCCAGCCTGCCAGTGAGCAAAGGCCGTGGCTCCGTGCTGAGCTGTTTAGTTTCCCAAGCGTTTGTGAGTTCTGATGCCGAGATCAATGATCGCCGCGGGTTGTTTCTAAGTACTCTTGTATTACCTTTTCTTGATTATTCCATAAACGGAATTCGGATTTCTGAGAGTGTCTACAAAATGGAATTTGGCTGATCGTTCTCTGACCACACTGTGATGTCTGTCGGGTTTTTAAAGCGACTTGAGTCCTCCAAACCCTGCTGTATGCATGTCTGGATCCTGGGGCTCAAACCCTGCTGAGGTTGGGATGGGGCCTGGAATCCAGGAGAAGGTTTCGGATTAAGCGTGTCTGCTGTTTCTTTCTTTCTTCTTCTTTTTTTCTTTTCCTTGTGTTAATTTACAAGCGTTAGAACATCTGCTCAAAGGACTTGGCCAAAGATGGCTTTATTTTTTTCACTCAACGGCAAAGGTCCACAGGTAACCTGGCATCCGGCAGAGTGGGGCTCTAGACTTGATGTCATTAGGGGCTTGATGACTTTTCCCTGTGTCCTCCTCCGCTCCCACTGCCTTGGCTTTATGTTCAAGCTGCTCATTAGATCTTCCAGGACTTCAAAGCTGTTTCTTCGAGGCCAGCAGATGACTGAGGAAGTTCTAGTCTCTGAGGGCCAGTGACGGTCTACTGGGATAGGCCACCACTCAGAGGCACACCTGTGAGCCCAGCCTTTGGGCCAGGAGGATGTGGCACACTCATTAGCCCCTGCCTGTGTGGCTTGGTCCACCCTCGAAGCGGTGGGAGAATTCACTAAGCACATGGGGTTGGATTGAAGGAGCACTCTCCAAGTTAAAATGGGGCAGATGTGGGGGCTGATGTGAGAACTGGGGTGTTCAAGGATCTTGCTTCAGAAAACTTGACCATAGCCATGAACCTCAGAATGAAAAGTACTAGGTTCAGAGGAGCTGTTTACAATCCCCAAAATAATATTTTTGTATTTTTAAAGCTTTGGAAACCGACAAAGCTAGCACACGTGTGGCGGACTGCATCATCTCCCAAGGCTGACTTGGGGAACGGAGGTAAGCCTCAGGAGCTGGGGTGGGGGTGTCTTTGTGGTACCCTCCTATGTTTCCCCTCCCCGATCTCACCATTGAGAGCATAGCTCTCCAGTTCTTCATTGAGGTCACTCGGTGTTCCAGAACTTTCTTACACTCCCTGACTTCTGGTGTGCTTGCTGTAATTGAAGTGCTGACTATTGCCTTTGAGACTTTCTGGACGTTCACTGGAAGAATAACTTGATAATGTTGATTGATTCTGTGTCTGCTGATTATGGGAAACTCCTGGATGTCTTGTGGGAAGCACATGGTTGTGGCTGTCTTCCTCAGCCCTGTGACAGGTGCTTAGCTCTCACTAGATTTTTATAAAAATAATGAGCACAGGGCAGAAATCGGAATCTTGGGCATACAGGAGGAGCATGTTGGCGTTTTCTGATTCTTGCCAAGGATCCCGACCTGCTTGCCTAATCTGTGCTCTACACATATGACCATTGGTGATGGGTGTGACAGTCCTGCAGCCCTGTGGCAGAGTGGTACCAAGTGTACTCTTCTAGCCCTTCTCAAGCTGCATCTGACCATCTGCCTTTAAAGCCTCTGTCCACCTTTTAGAGGGTAAGGGGAGCAGCAGTAGCTGCTCATGAGAATGATCTGATGCAGAGGTGTATGCCAAGACAAGGGGGTGCTCGGGCAGAGTGCAATTAACTGAGATTCTAATTAACGTGAGTGTGAGGAGGCCTGCGCGTGGTCTAGAAAGCAGAGAGCTTCTCACGCGAGGAAGGGCCGGCTCTCAGGGGAGTAAGACTGGACAAATGAGGAGGCATCTGAGTTCATTGGGTCCTAGTCATTCATGCAGATGTTTTGATCTACTTGTGTGTGCTCACAAAGGCAGTGACATCTCATAGAATATTCCCCTGTTACATGCTGATAAAATGCTTGGACTCCCAACGGGAAAAGAGGATATATATATATATATATATATATATATATATATATATATATATGGTGGTATTCTAATTGTACTGAAATGTGATTTTGATTGTATGTTAATAAATAAAGTTACCCGGGGGTCAGAGCTATTAGAGCCATAGCAAGAGTGTGGCAGTGGTGGCACACGCCTTTAATCCCATAGATCTCTGTGTGTTCAGGGATACAGCCAGCATTGGAGACATATGCCTTTAAGACCTGGGGGGCTGTACATACAGACAGTGATGAGGCAGTCACGTGTTTGGGTTTACAACCAATGAGAAGGCAGAACAAAATACTATAAAAAGACGGACAGACAGGATATAGCTCTCTTTCGGGAAGCTGGGACACCGAAGGAGGAAGGGTGAGATTTTAGCTCTGAGCTCTGACCTCTCGGCTTTCTCTTTTACATTGGTTCTGTGTTTCTTATTTAATAAGACTGTTGGTTACATCTACATATATATAAATATATATATATATACACATATATATATATATATATATTTCTCTTATTCTTCTGGACCCTTTGTCAAGAAATGAATTCAGATGTCTGAGAAACTTTTAAAAAATGTTCAACATCCTTAGCCACCAACAAAATGCAAATGAATTACTTAGAGATTTCATCTTACTCCTGTCAGAATGGGTAAGATTTAAAAAACAAAAAATAAAACCAAATTCCAATAAATGCCGTCATGGTTGTGGGCAAAGGAGAACAAGTTCATTGCTGAAGCAGCAGCAGAACAGGAAAATAAACAGGTACCATGGAGGGAAGAGCGCCGGAGAGGGGAATAGCAGGATACAGTGATACAAAGAGAGAAATGGGGAACGTGGGGGGCTTCAGTTGGGGTATAAGGAGTTAAAAGATGAGGTAGAAGGAGAGGGAGCAAGGTGTGGAAAAAATAACACCAAGGATGTTTGAAAAAGCCATAAAGAATCATATTATTTTTATTTACCTAAAATTACATAAAATACATAATCACATATATAATCGTATAGAATTATATATAAACACAAACAATATTTATATAACATATATATTTGTATTTATATATTTTAATGAAGTTCTATCACTTGGGCTAACACTCTTCCTTCAAGAGCTAACAAAACCCCAGTACCAGGCATGAGAAACTCCCTTTTGAATTGGTGGCTAGGGGAGTCCAAGAGAATCTCTAAACAATATAAGCTATTTCTGTACCCTTTGTTTCCTCTCAGAGGCTGAACATAAGTCTCCAATGCTGCAGACACCACACACTTAGGACACAAGACTTGGAGCATCTGAGCTGGATCTGACCTGAAAGCCTCCTTACTAAGGACTTACTTTCATAGCACTGGAAAGGGCTAAGCAAGCTGCCAAGGGAGGAAAGCCACCAATAGTCTTACCCAGTTATGATGCCCAAGAACCACAACAGTGACCAGTATGACAAGATGTCCCTAAGGAGGCAATAGCAGTACTTATATTTTGGTGGTAACCAACCTGGACTTATAGCTCTGTGGTAGTTTGAATGAGAATGGCCCCATGCTTGGTTTCCAGTTGGTGGAACTATTTGGGAAGGACTAGGAGGTATAGTCTTGTTGGAGGAGGTATATTACTAGGACTGAGCTTTGAGGTTTCAAAAGCCCACACCAGTCCCAGTTAGCTCTCTCTGCCTCAAGCTGTTGTCTCAACATGTAAGCTCTCATCTGCTGCTCCAGCGCCCTGCCTGCCTGCTGCTATGTTTCCAGTTATGATGGTCATTGACATCCTCTGAAATGGTAAGCCCAATAAGCTTCCTTTTTAATTTGCCTTGGCCATGGTGTCTTAGCACATCAATAAAAAAGTAATGAAGATAGGCTTACTCATCGGGAGGGAAGTCATGCCTGGTACTGGAAACCCAGCCAACTAGGTAGGCCTACCCAGGGGGTAGGGTGGCTAATGAGGAGAACCAACTATTGCCATTTTCCTAAACCAGCACAGTTTCTAACTTCATTCTAAATACTTACCCTTAGAGAAGTTTAGCTCTTACTCCTCATCAAGGAAGCTTCTCTGCAGTAGACAGAGCTCCTTAGGGAAAACTACAGCCAGTAAAAATGCAGAGAACAACCGGTCATGGGATGCCCAGGCCCAACTGATATGTCTACAACACAGTTCCTTTCCCTGAGGCTCAGGGAACATGGAGGAAGAGGGAGTGGAGGATTGTAGGGGTCAACGGACCAGGAAATCTTCCATGAGATTGTGTCTCCTAGAAACGACAGGGGTCACTCACGATACCTCAGCAATATGGCTGCCTAAACAAGACCCAAATAAGTACAGCACCAGCAGACAGGCAAGTGTTGAAGGGAGACACTTTGTGTACATGGCTCCATCCTAGGCAAAGAACTACTGGCAATGGAAGGCTGCTGAGAAGTGGAGAGTCTGCCTTCCCAAGGGGTGACTCCCCTAGATGGTTATCCAATACCAAGTGGTTAGCCCTGAAATAACATGCATACAAGCAAAAACGGCCCGGCAGCTTCTCAACGTGTTCCTTTGAAGGTATTTTGAAACTTTTCCAAATGGCTAGTGGTTATGGTAGCAGCTTCATGGAGTGACTGGGGTTTCAGGGTTGACTTACGTGGTAGCCAGGCCCTCCCCCTTTAAAGGAAGCATCCATGGAGGGTCCCTGCTGTCTCTGTCACCATCCCTGCTCCCTGCTATGCTGTGTAGATTGTAAAGTCAAAGAAACTTAAAAGAGAACCTGCCTCATAAGGCAGTGAAAAACAGGCAAACATGTCCATTTCCCCTGGTCCTGTTACGTGTTCTCTATCTGCACCTGCATCTTGGTATATGTCATCATCTGCTTCCCTTTTTTTTTTTGTACTAATTGGGTGAAATCTGATGTCAATTTGCACTTCACCTAATAGCTTGGATTTTGTTGCTTGTTTTCTCCAGCTGGGGATCAATCCTGAGGCACTGCAGATGTTAGCCCAGCACTCTACCACTGAGTCATACCCTAGCTCAGCTAACCTGGGTCAGGTATCATTTTCCACACTCTTTTCTTACAGATGAATTTCTAGATACTGTTACTTTCATGTACTAAAACTAGGCTAGTTTTGTGTCAACTTGACACAAGCTAGAATCATTTGGGAAGAGGGCACCTCAATTAAGATAATGTCCCCACTAGATTGGCCTGTGGGTAAGCCTGTGGTGCATTTACTTGGTTGATTGATATGGGAGGGCCCAGCTCACTGCAATGGTGTTACCCCTGGGCTGGTGGTCCTGGGTGCTATAAGAAAGCACTCTCAGCAAGCCATGAGGAACGAGCCAATTAGTAGTATTCCTCTGTGACTTCTGTTTCAGGTCCTATCTCCAGGTTCCCACTCTGACTTCCCTCCATGATGCACTATGATGTCGACATGTCAGTGAAATAAATTCTTTGCTCTCCAAGTTGTGTATGGCCATAGTGTTTTACCACAGCATAGAAACCCTGACTAAGACATCATCTTATTAGTGCTGTACCCAACACCCTGTCAGAGCCTAAAGCAGCAGCAGTTTGTGGTCTTACATTTCTAGAAAGCAGAAATCAGCCCCCTGGGAGAAAAATCATCAAGATTTTGACTAGCGCACATTCCTTCCAGACACTCTCTAAGAGGATAGTTTACCTCATCTTGTCCAGCTCTAGAGGCAGCTTTTCTCCCAGCCTTTGGCCCATTCCTTTCTTCTCAAAGGCAGGTTCCTTGATTCTACATCTCCTACCTCCCTTCTCTATTTTAAGGAATCTTGTGATTACGTGGGAACACATGTTCTAGATTCCGTTCCTTTCCCATGACAAATAACTTCACAAAAAGTAACACAAGAGAGAAGAGTTTACCTGATTCACCACTCCTGGTTATTATTGAATTATTTCAGGGAAGCCAAAGCAGAAATTCAAAACATCCCTTTTACCTTAGTCAGTGTTCTGTTGCTGTGAAGAGACACCATGAGCACAGCAACTCTTAGAAAGGAAAGCATTTAATTAGGGGTTGGCTTACAGGTTCAGACACTTAGTCCAATATCAGTGTGGTGGGAATCACAGTGGTGTGCAAGCAGACATGGTGCTGGAGAAGGAGCTGAGAGTTCTACATCTGAATCCACAGGCAAGAGGAAGAGATAGACTCTGGAACTGACTTGGGCTTTTGAAAGACCAAAGCCCGCCCCCGGTGACACACTTCCTCCAACAAGGCCGCATCGACTCCATTAAGACCACACCTCCGAATCCCTGTCAAGTAGTGCCATTCCCTAATGACTAAACATTCAAATATATGAACCTATGGGGGACATCCCTGTTGAAACCACAACATCATCCATAGTCAAGAGCAAGAGAGAATAAACCCACAAATTCTTCTTGCTTGCTGCTCATGCTCAGCAAGTTTTATTCCCTCTTACAGAGGTTAGGGCTTTTATCAGCCCATGGATTGGTGCCACACATAGTCAGGGTGATTCTTCCTATCTCGGCCAACAGTTGAGACAACCCTCTATAGACATGACCACAGCCAAACTGCTGTAGATAGTTCCTCAGGTGATTCTAGCTTGTGTCAAGTTGACAGATAAACTGACCAGCACTCCAGGGTATTTGCTTAGAGGAGGTCAGTTGATTATTAACCTGATTTTACCTGTAACTTTGATTTCCCTAGACAGTGCAACGCACACTACAGGTTCCAGGAATGAAGATATACACATTTTGGAGGGACCATTGTTTTGCCTATTGTAGATATACTTGTGGTCTATATGTTGATACTATACAACTTTGTCTGAAATTTATTCAAGAATTTACCTACTCAATAAATATTTGAGAACTTGCCATGGAAATATAATATGTGGCCTGCAATTAAGAAACTGATAATTCAAAAATGTCTTTTATTAAATGTCATAGTTGTGTTGTTTAGATCCAAACCACAAGCTATCTCTGTCCCTTAAGTGGAAATACAGGTCTTCCATGTCAGCCCTTCTCTATGTGTAGGTACAAACATACTCTACACTAGACTTACTGTCATTTCTGTTGCTGTGATAAAACACACTCATAACAAGAAACTTAGGGGAGAGCATTTATCTGGCTTAAAATCCCAAGGGACAGTCTATCACTGGGAAGATTCAGGGTAGGAGCGTGAAGCAGCTGTTCACACCCACAGTCAAGAGCGGAGAGAAATGAACGCATGGTTGCTTGCTTGTGCTCAGTTCCCCTCTCTACATGTACACAGGTCAGGATCACCTGCCTAGGGAATGGTGCCACCCACAGTGGGTAAACTTTCCCACATCAATTAATGTAATCAAGACAATCTCTCACAGGCTGACATGCTCTAGACAGTCCCTCATTGAGGCTCCCTTCCCTCGACTGTGATTCTCCGACTGTGTCAAGTTGACAATTAAAAGTGACCACCACATCATCTGACTCCATATCAAAGATATACCCAACTGCTTACCTCATGGGGAAAACAGGATAAGTATGGTAAAGTACATGCAGGACAGAAGATGTTTCCATGAGCTTGGGTCTGACACACACACTCTTCTTCACGCTAATCACCATGACTTGAAGGTTTCTTTCTTTAGCTAGTTGAGGATCACAAAGCCAAATGAAAGCAAATAGCTATTGTTGACGGGTACCTTTTGAAATTTACTTTTTCTTCTAGCAACAAGAGCAGAGTGAGAAAAACACATGTGAAGGTTGATGCTCTGCCCAGGAAATGAGCTGCATAAAAGGCCTTATTCTCAGACACCATCATGAGAATGACTTTATTGGAAGTAGAATTTAAATAAGGAAATAACGGAGGTTTTTTTTTCCCCCTGAGGGAACACAAGGTGCTTTTGAGCATTTCTCAAGCTCACCAGAAACTAATCCTGTTATCACATTATACATTACAAGAAAACAGGATGGAGGTGTTTTAAAAATACTTATATGTGGGACCTGTGAGATAGATCAAGGCACTTGCCACAGAGCCCAATGAGTCCAATTCCTGGACAGAGCCTGATAAGCTGAGTTCAGTTTTCTTAGACCCACACAGTGGATAGAGAGAACTGACTCCTGGAAGTAGTTTTCTGGTCTCCACATGTGTGCCATGGCATGCACTATGCAACACACTACATAAAGAAAGAAAGAAATATAATAAACATATTTGTAAGTAGATAAATTAAGTCATCAATTGGGCAGAAAACTTGCAAAGATTATTTAAAAAGAGTACTGAAATGATTATAGATAATACTTTCTATTTACCAGGAAAGGAATTACGTACTGTGTTAGCTTTTATTCATGTTCTTATTAGGAAAATTTTGGCAAGGGCCTCAATAATGTGTTTCCCTTTAAGTATGCCACCACCAGGTTGTGAAGTGAGCCATTGCTTCTTTTTTAAGTTGTCATAATTCTGTTTCAGAAATATTGTGACCATCATTTGAAATGAACTCTATTTCTGGGTCAGCAATCTGAAAAATTCATAACAGCCTGTCTGTCCCCTCCTTGACTTTTTGAGTCCCACCACGGGAGATGGCTCACACGTCATTTCCATCAGTGCTGATGAAAGATGCAGGTGTGCCTGTCCAGGGAGGGCCGTTTGGAGCCTGGTATCCGAATAACAAACATCAAATAAGATGGCTATGGAGACATAGCCAGGATTGGTCGGAGACAGAAACGAGGAAAGAAAGTACTGTGTTTGCTGACGTGGGCGTGTGTTTGTACGATGTAGTTCATTATCTGGTTCAGAGAAAGAAAACCCTGATAAAAAGATCACCATGTGAAAACAAAAAACAAAACAAAAAAACAGAACAGCCCACTAGATTCTGTTGAAAAAGAAAGGTAGAGAGAAAGAAGATGGTGTAAAGTGAAATCTTACAGTGCCAATAAATCTGGAGGGAGGGCCCAGGTTGGTACTGCAGTGTTGTGTGGTGGGTGTGACCACTGGTTGTAACCTCCACTGGTAACTGGTAACAGTTATTGAAACTTATGTATGCCTACTAAGAGCCTCCTAGGCTTATCTAATTTTATTCCAAAGGTCTATTTCTTTAATAAATGATTTTAAACACCACCACCCTCTCACTAGCTTCATCAGAGCAATTGATTCTTGGCTCAACATTCCTTTGGCTTGAGGTTTTTATTGACTAGCTGTGTGTTTTTCCCATTAATATTTCTTTTGTGATTTCCATCACAGTTAACACCTGGCTTCCAGTCCTGGCTGTGGAGGAGGAAGACTTGGTCATTATATCATCTCACTCATTTCTGGATCTTTTAAGATGGGGCCTCGTTGATATTCCTACTCATGTCCTGGAAGGCAGGGGTTTTCTGAGTGATTTGACAGTCTCATTGGCTTCCCCCTGAAGCTGTATGCAACCTGCACTCTGTTAAACCAACATTACTGGGGAGGAATGAACTGTACTCTCTGAATCCATTTGGGATGCCTCTGGACATCTGGCATTCCAGCACCAAGTGTAGTCACCTGCTTTGCCTGAAAGTATAATCCCATGCTTTCTACTACAGTTCTCTGTCTGAGATATTGCATTTTGCATCTGTCCCAAGCCAGTCTACTTGCCGGTGACATGTGGTGTCTGGTTCAGTAGTTTCTCGAGGGGGGACAAATAGTGCACTGAAGTTGAGGAAAATGTGCCTTGGGGTGGATTTTGGTGTTCAAAGCAGAATTCTTTTATTTTTTCCTCTGTTTTCTTTAGGAAAAGAAAAAAAAGTTCTCTATGAAATAAATGTAATGATGCCATATAAAAGAATCTTCCAGCCTCACCCCACACACCAGAGGCCTGGAAGGCTTGAGTGTTTGTTGAGGGAAGACTTGTCACTACACAATAATCATCCGTGGGCTGCTTCATAGGAAGCATCCTCTGGGATGTCAGCTGGCTTTTATTTTCTCCTTCCTAAAACAATGCCTAGAGTGAGCCTTTGGATGTAATACATTCTGTTGAAGTAGCTCAGTATATAGCTTATCATCCCAGATCTGTTTTGTTAATAATGTTGAGGCTGACTCCAGCTGATTTTGGAAAAGAGAACAAAATGATGACTACAGAGGATAATCTGTGGGATGGTAGGTACTTCCTGTTCTCCAATCCACTCTCTGGGCTGACATGCATTGCTGTGATTATAAGAACGAGTTTCTCTTCTCCCCACTTTGCTTGTATACCCTACTGATGACGCCCTGCTCTTTCTCCAGTTGGTACAGTGCGAGATACCGATTCCCAAGTCCACACACTTCCCTTCGGGAGACAGGGGCCGCACTGTGTTGCTGGCTCTATGGTAACTGCTGTTGCATTCCACTAAGATAGTTAATGTCTTCTAACACTCTACCTTGGGTGTTTTCTTTACAGGTCTGCCACCACTCAGAAACCTGGGAAATGTCTGTGAGATGAATGACCAGCACTCTTTTAATGCTAGTCATTTAGCATCTGCATTTAGCCCAAGAAGAAAATACTACTGAGGCTAAAGAGAAAGAAGCATTGGGTCCTGAGGGGTGGCTCATGGTTAAGAACTCCAGCTCCAGGGAGACTCAATGTCTCCAGCTAATGTGGACACCTGCACTCATATGCTTATGCATATACCCAACGTTACAAATAATAAATATGAATAACAAAAGGCAGGATGTGTGACCAGCTTCCTCCTGCTCCCCCTCTTCCCATGTTGGATCTGCTTAGAATCGCTTGTCTTCGCTGGGTTGGAGTGGTTGACAAGGGACGCAGTCTTGGTGGCCCTTCCTGGACAGTCCTTGTCCTGCCTCTTGAAGATTGTCTGGGCAGAGGGGTTGTGTTTCTCAGTAACTGACTGAGACTGATCCCAGCTGGAGTCATAATGGAGGATAATGTGTGGGGCAGCAGGCAGGGCGAGGTGACCTGTTGTGTTACCAGCTGGTGACAAGAGTTTCACTTCTCCTCAGTTTGGTCACATCTGTGCTCACGACACCCCGCTCCCTCACCCCCACAGAGTGCACAAGTGCTGAGGAAATCCTGCAGTTCTGAAGCTTTTTCTTTTCAGATAAAAGAATATACTCTTTCAATTATCTACGTGAAGAGAAAATGGGTACTAGTTGTTGTCCACTAGTACCAGAGAAATAATGAGTTGCTTTAAATCAGCAAATGCCAGAAACATCAGCTTCTCTTCTGCATAGAAATGGATAATAAGGAATCTATATTTTATTGACAGCACATATGAAAACAGCCAAGCATGTCCACATGACAATTCTGAATACTGTAAGTACAACTAAGTTAGCACTTGGGTCTCATACGGCCAGCAAATGCTCACAGTTTGGAGCAAAAAATGTGTACTTCAACAAACAGCAAGCAAGAAACTTAGGCTTAAAATGCTCATCCACCTGAAGGCCCTTCTCTGAAAGAAAAAAACGCGTGTGTGTGTGTGTGTGTGTGTGTGTGTGTGTGTGTGTGTGTGTGTGACAGAGAGACAGAGACAGAGACAGAGAGAGGGAGGGAGGGAGAGAGAGAGAGAGAGAGAGAGAGAGAGAGAGAGAGAGAGAGAGAGAGAGGCAGACAAAGACAGACAAGACAAAGACAGAGAGACAGACAGAAGAGTCACTGGCCTAGTTAGCTTTCTACTTCTGTGAAAAACATCATTATCAAAAGCAGCTCAGGGAGAAGAGGGGTTATTTGGCTTATAGGTTATAGTCCATCATCCAGGGAAGTCAGGACGGGAACTCAAGGCAGGAACCTGGGGGCAGGGACTGGCACAGAGACCATGGAGGAGGGCTGCTTACTGACCTCCCCCCCCCCATGGCTTACTCAGCCTATGTTTTTATACAACCCAGGACCATCTTTCCAGGGCTGGCATCACTCAGAGTTGACTGGGCACTCCCACATCAGCCATCTCAAGAAAATGCCCCACAGACTTGCTTATAGGCCAATATGATGGACATGATTTCTCAGCTGAGGTTTCCTCTTCCCAGATGACTCCAGATGGTGCCAAGTTGACAACAAGACAAACCAGGGCCATCACCTTACCTCTCAGGTCACAGTATAAAGGGCATTATAGTGGTGGCTGGCTGTGAATATCTGAAAAAGTGTTATTTAGAAAACCTTTGAGAACTCTGGACAGTCGGTGCAGTAAATTCCAGCATATTCTGCAGTGGTTAATTGTCTTAGAATATTTACTCAAAGAAAGTCTTTAAAAAAAAAATCTAAAGTGATTTCAGAATCCATTAAGCTCAAGACAAGAATAACTGGAGTATTGTATCTGTTGAGTTATGAAGAGAAAAGAAAAATTCCTCATATCTGAAGTCTGATATTTACTTTAAAACTTACTTTAAGGGGATGGACAGAAAGACATGATTACAAATAAGAGCAATGGGTGTGGAAGGGGCCTCACTACAGTTGTTAAAAAATGACGAGAGAGTGAATACTCCTAGAACCGTGACTTAGATCGAATGGACTCTTTCCCAGTGCTCGGGATAGAAGGGAGGGCTTTGTGCTTGCTAAGCCAGCACGCTACCAGTGAGCTGCACCCCTGTCTGACAACAATTCTCAAAAATACAAACTGCTAAAGTTTGCTCAAGGAGAAATAGGTAGCTAGATATTAATAAACAGTTGAGTAGCCCAGCTGTTTATTAAAGAAACTGGAACATTGCCAAAAGTACTATTTTAATACAGTTTTGAGGGGAAAATAATACCAGTTATCCACAGATAGTTTGGAGTCCAAGAGGAAGAGAAAAACCTCTCAGTTCAGCCTATGAGGCCAGCACCACCCTGACACTGAAAACATAAACTGCAAGAAAGTATAGTGCAGATAGATTAACACCCCACAAAAATGTAGGTGCAGTATCTGAGGCAAAGTAACAGCAATTGCAATCAAACCAGCTAAAAAAGTGATAAGGTGTCAATCACAGCCTACTGGTTGGCCCCTGGGAATGTTGTGTAATACACAGGCATCAGTTAGTGCAGTCCACCAAATACAGAACATATACAACTAACATAAAAAAAAAATTAACTATCAGGACGAGAATGGAGTTTCCACTAATAAGAAGCAGCGGCGCTGTAAAACCATGGGGTGTCAACAGTGAATGGCCAGGCCTGGTGGAGACTGCCAGAGAAGTCAGCTCTGTGTTAGAAACCCCATCTGTGCAACGGAAACGGGATGTGGACACTGACTATTAAGAAGGAAAAGGAAGGCTGAGCCACAGAAGAATCTATGAAAAGCTAGGGTTGACAGGTGGATCCAGCAATGCCGTAGGCTGTTTGTAAGTCATGTCTGTCTGTCCACTCATAATTAGTGATGATCAATTAAAACTGAATTTAAAAGTATTCTACCATTTAGCATTGTAATTAACCACAAAATATTATAAGACCAAAGAAAACACATTTAAGATTATATACTTTAGACTACAAAGTTTACACAAAAGGGACGGAGAGAAACAGCTAAGTGGAAGACAGACAGACAGACAGACAGACAGACAGACAGACAGCTGTGCCTGTAGGTTGTAATACTCAAAGTTATGGTATCAGGTTTTCCTCTGCCACTTTATAAATTCAATGAAACTGCAGCCCAAATGCCTCATGGAATTCTTGTGGAAACTCACAAACTCAGTCTAAAATATATATGGAGGGGCTTAAAGAAATGGGTCTGTGGTTAAGGGTATGTACTGCTCTTGCAGAAGACCTGAGTTCTATTAATAGTGCCCAGGTGGGGCAGGTCACAACTGCTTGTAGCTCCAGCTCAGCAGAATCTGACACCCTCTTCTGGCCTTAGCAGGCACCTACACTCATGCGCACACACCCATCCACCTTCACAAATACTCATGATGAAAAAAACAAACAAAAAAAAAAGTTTAAATTACATATAGAAAGGAAACAGAAGTAGAAAAACAGTTGGGAAACAGAAAAAGTGGAATGACTAGTATTAATGACTAGCACTGGAGACCATTTCCTAAATATAACACCAACAGCACAGACCCTGAGCACAACAATTAATAAATGGGACCTCTCGAAACTGAGAAG